ATAGGGGTCTTAAATAGCTGCAGCTGGCTCTGAACTCGCTACACACTGGAAGACAATCTTCATTTCTCCACAGGCCCAACTGTAGAATTATAGGCAAGCATCAACACATGCCCATAATAAATGCTAGGATTTTGTGTCATGGTTGAATAACAACAGCCTCCATAGGCTCAAGTATTTAAATGTTTAGGGAGTGTCACTATTTGAAAAGATTAGGTGTGGCCTTGTTGGAGGAAATGTGTCACTGGGGTGGGTACAGAGGTTTCAAAAACCCAGACCCAGTGGGTGCTCTCTCTCTCTTCCTGCTATAGGTCCAGATGTAGAACTCTCAGCTCCTTCTCCAGTAACATGTCTACCTACATGCTGCCATGCTCCCCACCGTGATTATAACGGATTCAAACCCTTGAAATTCTAAGCAAACCCCAATTATAACGCTTTCCTTTATGAGAGTTGCTGTAGTAGTGGTGTCTCTCCCCAGCAACAGAACACTAAGATTCTCCCTCTGTAGCTCAGGCAGTCCTGAAATTCAGTCTGTAACCCAGGACAGCCTTAAACACTTGTTAATCCTCTTGCCTCAGCCTGGAATTACAGTTCTGTGCTACCATGCCAACCTCATTTCCAACGACATATTAATTCACTATTCTTTTGGCTGACTAATAGAACCCCAGAATAAATCTTGGTTAGGAAGCAATGTTCAAAAGTGTTCTGCCTTAAAGAAGGGTTGTTGCTCAGCAGACTGCCTGACTGCCTGGCATACTGAGGCTCTGAGTTCATTCCCCACCAACACCAAAAATAAAGGTAAAGAGGGTGGAGTGATGATTCAATGGTGAAGAGCACATACTGCTCTTGCAGAGGACCCAAGCTTGGTTTCAAGCACCCACATTGGAAGGCTCACAACCACCTGTAACTCCAAGCTCCAGGATACTGGATGCCTTCTTCTGGACACCATAGGCATCTATCTGCCTTGACAAGTGCACATACCCATAAAAGACAAATAACAGTAATTATTTTTAAAATAAAAAGGGAAAGATATTTCACAGCTATGGGAATTAAACATATTAAAATTAAATCATGCTCAGATGGTGGAGATTCAGGTATAATGAAGCCATTAACAAGCCTGGATTATGCTTGCATCCTGCTACATCCCCGCCAAGAAGGCTTTACATGAGGTATTCTCCACAGGTCAATTAATCCAGCACGTCAGCTTCAATACAACAACTGATAACTACTTACCAAGTACTATGGTCAGACACTAAACTAAAAGCAAGGAGAACAAGGCAGGCATCTTGATGATTATTTGTAAATATTCATTATTATGAGTGTTTTGCCTGTTTATGTATGTGAACCATGTGTGTGCCTGGTATGTGCCCAAGGGGGTAAGAAGGGGGGTGTCATATCCCTTGGGGACTGGAGTTACAGATGGTTGTAAAATACCATGTAAGTGCTGGGAATTGAACTCTGATCCTCTGCTAGCGCAGCCAGTGTTCCCAACTATTGGGCCATCTCTCTAGCCTTGTTTATTTTGAATAATAAATTTTTTTCCTCCATAGGCTTAATGTGAGATGTACTGAAACAGATTTCAGGAGAAGTATTTTTTAGTAATGCTAGCCATTAGCAGGTGGAGAGTTTGGTAGGAGAGCCAGTAATAACCCAAGAAACATAGGAAATTTCTTTTTTAAAGACTTTAGAAGATAGAGGTCTTTGAGCTTAGACAGAAGAGATCTGAGTTTAACAGCTTAGTAATGACACCAGATAAGATATAATACACTGAATCCTATTGTCCCACTGTACCCTTTGGGCCCCAGCTATGAGGCAGGATTTTACCAGCTTAGGGAAAGTATTTTAGGATATAAGGCTTGACTGATCTCTACTGAGCACCAACTGATATCAAGCAATGATTAAATAATGCCAGGGCACCCCTAAGTGGGAGGAATACATAAACAAATGAAACTTTAAAGATACCTTGAAAAAAATAAATCTGCTGGAGAATAAATAAAGTTAAACTGTTGCTTGGTTACTAAACGGTCCTCTAAGAAAGTTTATTCATTCATTCATTCATTCATTCATTTATTATGGTTTTTAGAGGCAGGGTTTCCCTGTGTAACCCTGGCCTGGAACTCTGTAGACCAGGCTGGCCTCAAACTCAGATATCTGTCTGCCCCTTCCTCTGTCTCCTGACTGCTGACCACTATGCCGGACTCTAAGAAAGTAAATTTTAAAAGCTGGGGTCTACCTAAGCCACAGAGTGCTTGCAGCGAGGACAGAACATTCTAACTCAAGAAACTAGAGCTTCAAAGACTTTAAAGGTGGAAATGTGCTGTGAGATTTGAGTATATGGAGGAGTGAGAACATGTTAGACGCTTCTGGCAAGGGCCAGAGTAGATTTTCTCTTATATGGGCCAAGAAGACACTGAGAGTTTTTTAGGCTGGAGTATTATTTGACTTCTTTATCTGTAAAAATGAAGATTATTATGAAGTAGCTATCCAAATTCTGGTAAAGATGAGAAATGCTGCAAATAGACCACCATATATGTCATGGGTATTCAATAAATGAACACTATTAAATCAGAAAAAAAAGAGAGAGAGAGAGAGAGAGAGAGATAAGGTCTTAGTATGTTTCCCCACAATGGCCTCAAATTTGTGATTCTCCTGTCTCAGCCTCCTGAGGAATGGCTGGGAGAACAGACATGGACCACTCTACCCAGTTTTTCAAAGGGTCTTTATGAGACATCTGTGAAAGTTTCCCAGAGCTTTCATAGGTACCCATCTCTAAAACTCATTTCTTTAATCTTTGGCCAGTTCCTTAGTACATTTTTTAAATTTTTTTAATAGGACATGGAATCTTGCAACAAGAACTTAAGCACTGGGAATTAATGACTGTTTGGGTATAATTTCAAATGCACTTGTTGCTAGATATTTGACAGTTTCCTTAGATTAATCTGGAAGAACTGTTGTGACAATTACATAGATCAATGTGCAGTGACCTTAACAGTACCTGCCCTTCCATGTTGTGTCACTTCTATGAAAACTATGCAACCATCCTTTCTTAAATGGAACAGCTCCAGACTATGACTATTTCGGTATCCAACTTATTCTTTCTTGTTTGAGACAGGGCCTTACCACACATCACAAGTCTGGACCTCAGACTTGAAGCCACTCCGAAGTGCTGGTATTTCAGGTGTTAGCAACATTCCTCCAGATAAACCCATGGGCAGTCCCACCCTAGATCCACTAAAACAAGGTTATTGGGGTTTAGCGCCCAGGAAGTTGTATTTTCACAAACTCTCCAGGTGAGGCTTGAGAAACCCTGCCTGCTTAAATCTATCCTACAGATTGGAAACGGGTTTCAATACATTGTTGAATAACCAGATGACAGCAAAGAACATCTTCTTCCAATGTTCACAGGGCTCGAAGGTCCTGGGTTTTTTTGTTTGTTTGTTTGTTTAGCGTTTCTTTATGTAGCCCTGGAACTTACTCAGTAGACCAGGATAGTTTCCAACTATGAGATCGGCCTGCCTCTGTCTCCCGAGTGCTGGGATTAAAGACCTACACCACCACTGACCGGCTCTATGGTCCTGTTTTGATGGTCTACCTAACCCCCAGTCCCGCTCTTACCAGCTAGGTTGTTGTAACAGTCTGTCTGGATCGTGTGCAGTATGTTTTCTTGCTCCGGCGTGAGAGCTGGGCCCTGAGGTCCCAGATTGGGTATAGGAGAAGGCAGGCTTGGGTCCAGACCCCTCAGCTGAAGAAGAGCTCGATGGTACCTACTGACAGCATCTCGGTACTTCCCTTCCCGGTAGCGCTGGTTCCCTTCCTCCTTGTAGAGCTGAGCCTCCTGCAGGCGCTTCTCCATGACTGTTGGAATTATTAAATGTAATAGAAACTGAGGTTGTAGTGTTGGGATCAAGTGGCAGTCGATTTTGCAAGCAGAAAATTACCCTCCTTCAAGAGGCTCCCCAGATTTGGAGCTTTGCTGTTTTTACTAGTCCCATCTATCCTACTGTGGTAGTTTTCAGTTTCCCGAAGTTCCGCAAACTAAAAAAAGGAATGCTGTGGGGATAGTGAAGCCATAGATCAAGTGATTTTCTGAAGAAGAGATCCCGGCGTGAGTACAGACTCTAGGAAGAATCAAAGGCCCGACTAAACGTCCGAAGTGTGTGACCGCCCGCAAAATTCGTTTCCTTCTTTCTCTGAGGCACACCCCCTGACCTGGAAGAAGACGGAGTAGGCGGGAACAGCTGAAACAAGTCGAAAAGGCTTCTCTCCTTTCCAACCTTTATTTGTCCTTATTCAAGAAACATCTGTTGATGGCTCAGCTGTTAACTAAGTAACCGAAGTGAATGAGGCCCAAGCCTCCAGTCCACAGGTGAAGTACGAGAGCCTGTGTAAGCACTGGCAAGCCCCCAAACTGCACCGCAGCAGAAGCCCAAGGCCGGAAGACTCCTCCTGGGATTCAGTGTACGTGCGGGAGCACAGACAGGAAAAGACCTGGATGGCCAGCAGTTTAGCATCTAACGGGGCGCGCGCATTGCGTCACACCACCCAATCAGAAAGGAGTCTAGAAAAGTAATCCCCGCAGAAATGGCCCCGCCTCTCCAGCGGACCAACCCGGAAAAAAAAAAAAACTCCCGGCCACTTCTCCAATAGGAAAAAAAGCCGCACGATATCGGATGACCAATGAGAGCAACAGTCTGCGATTCAAGAGGGCCAATGAGAAAGGCGAAGGGCGGGGCCAGAGCCTCTGTTGCTGGGTAGAAAGAGGTCCGGGCATGGGTCGCTCTTCGTTGGTACTGAAAAGGCCTTTGCCTACCAGCTACGGAAACTGCACCACCCAGCCCTCCGGCTTGTCCTCAGTTATTAGTCTCAGAAGCTGCAGTCAGAGAATAAGGAAGAGAGGACATGGAGTAAGAATTAGGGTGCTCGGCCACTAGGAGCGAGCAGGAAGTAAGAGTAGTGAGGGGGTAGGCGGGGCTCCGGCGCGACTGCGCAGAGCCTACAACTGAAGTACGGAGAGAGGGGTGCGTTCTCGCTTCCGTGCTACGAGGCACTTGAGCCGCAGCCAGCCTTGCCCGGCTCCCAGCCTCGTTGCGGCTGCGCGTTTGTGCTGCCTGCGCTGATTGGCCCGACTACCTGAAGGGAGGGAGGAGAAGTGAGGGAACTCCGTCGTCCTCGGCGCGCACTCGCCCGCGGCCGAGAACCGAGCGTCTAGGAGGCTGTTCCTCACTGCCTCGTTTCGGACTTAGCCGAAAGGGGCAGGGCAGAAGGGAGGCGACTCAGACACGCCGCGGAGACAGCGCGGCCTCCGCCGCTGCGTGCGTGCACTTGCTAGCGTGGGCTCAGTGCTGGCGCGGGCGGCGGAGGCGGGCGGCGGCGGCGCCTGCGCGGTCGAGCTCGGTCGACAGTTCGCAGGGGAGGAGGCGGCGGGAGGCGGAGGAGGCGGCGGCGGCGATGGAGGTGAAGCGGCTGAAAGTGACCGAGCTGCGGTCGGAGCTGCAGCGGCGGGGCCTGGATTCGCGCGGCCTCAAAATGGATCTGGCGCAGCGGCTTCAGGAGGCACTGGATGCTGAGATGCTGGAGGACGAGGCCGGCGTTGGCGGGGCCGGGCCCGGCGGGGCCTGCAAGGCGGAGCCTCGGCCTGTGGCCGCGTCGGGCGGAGGCCCGGGCGGGGACGAGGAGGAGGAGGACGACGACGACGAGGAGGAGGACGAGGAGGCGCTGCTTGAGGACGAAGACGAGGAGCCACCTCCTGCTCAGGCTTTGGGCCAGGCCTCGCAGCCGCCTCCGGAGCCCCCGGAGGCGTCAGCCGTGGAAGCCGAGCCCGAAGCTTCCGACACACCGGCGGAGGCCACGGCCGGGTCAGGTGGGGTAAATGGTGACGAAGAACATGACAACGGCAAGGGGGAGGAAGACGGGCCGGAGGAACGGAGCGGAGACGAGACGCCGGGATCCGAGGCACCGGGTGACAAGGCCGCAGAGGAACAAGGTGAGGAACTGGTAGCAGAGCCAGGCTCCAACCTGCTGGCTTCGTCTCTGATCCTCAAACTCCCCACCCTGCACCGCAGGATCTGATTCCTTGTTTCCACTTGCCCGAAAGTGCACGGTTCCAGTGGCTGTTTAATGGGATTCCCTAAGGAAGGAGGCTTTAATCCACTGCCCATCATTGTGAGAGTTTGGGAGCCTTGTGGCTCCACTGTTTGCAGTTCATGCTTAACGTGGTTGCTTGGTGTTAGTGGATGATAGTGTGTGTGTGTGTGTGTGTGTGTGTTGCTTTCGAGCTACTTGTGGATCAGTCCTCTGGCGCTTCCCCGCCCCCTTTAGCTGAATACCTTTAGCCGAAAATAAGCTGAAAAACTGACGGTCTACAGGGACCAGTTTGAAGTTTAAGCCTTCGGCCTGTCTGGCAGTTCATTTCTTACCGTAAAAATGTTAAACAATACAGTCCACGAAATGCTGCCCTGTCAAACCTTCGTTAAGCCTCACAGAGACTCTGGATGTCTAACCTTGCTCCTTCCTGCTTAAGCGGTAGGAGATAGTGTGTGTGAGCCTGTTGGGTTTAATCATTAACTAGCAAAGAGAAGTCTTTTGCTAACATTTTAGTGTCGTGTTAGTTACTTGACTAGGGCTTTTTACTTTGTTCCTGTTGTGTTATATTTTAATTTTCCTGCCGAGTCAGTAAATGAGCATATTTATAGACTTACTCTACACTATTGCCTTTAATGCTCCTAACTTCTTAAGCTGAAATGATTTTAGGGGTTCTGCTGAGCCAGTTAAGTAATCTCGTGATAGAAGATGTGTAGAGACTTCCCCCAGGAGTTAACCTTTCTCCTTTTGAAATGCTTGTGTGGTTAGAACTAATCCCTACAGTCAGAGGGGAGAGAGCTGCTTCTGAATCTTACTTTCAAGTAGATTGCCTTGGGGTTTTTTCTTTTTGTTGTTGTTGTTTGTTTTTTGCTGTTAGTGAGTGTCATGAAGTTGAAATAAATTTTACAATGATTGCATACAAAGTATAGTGTTTGAGGTTTTTGTTGTGTCTAATGGCCTGGGACAGAACTCCTATTACATAATCCTTAACTTGTGTGTATCCCAAATAGCAGATAAAAAGCATTGAAAGATAGAGTACTTTAGAGGAATTGTCAAAGACTTTTAAGCTCTTTTTTTTAATTACTTATTATTTATACAGTATTCTGCCTGCATGTGTGTCAGCAGACCAGAAGTTACCAGATCTCATTATAAATGGTTATGAGCTACCATGTGGTTGCTAGGAATTGAACTCAGGACCTTTGGAAGAACAGCCAGTGCTCTTAACCTTTGAGCCATCTCTCCAGGCCCTGACTTTTAAGCTTTTAAAACATAAAAACCTAAGGAAAAAACTCCGTGTGTTACTCCTTGTAAAGAATGTTGCTTCCAGGCTTAGTTTCAGAAGCCTTCAATCCCAGCACTTGAGAGGTAGAGGCAGGCAGATCTCTGTGAGTTTGAGGTCAGCCTGGTGTACATAGTGAGTTCTAGGACAAGCAGAGATACATAGTGAGACCTGTCTAGTAGAAAAACAGAACAAACAAAAAAACAATGTTGCTAAATATACAACACCACCTTTCTGACCCAAATTCCATGAAGTAAAGATGCAGTGTTATTTATGGTTGGCTGGTGACTTAATAATTTGCTCTGGTAACTTTCAATTCAAGTTCCTGTTAAAAATACAGCTGCCATTGTGTGGCTTGCATTTTAGTGTAGAAAAGGCAGTTTCTTTAAAAAAATGTTAGGCTTCTGTGCCATGTAGCTGCTGAAAAGTACTAGAAAATAGTTATTAAGTACTTACCATAAATTCACATCTGGTAAGAATTAAAATTCACCTGTGAATTTAAAAGACTTCAGGGATATTTTCTTGTACTATTAGTGAGGAGATATGCCAGGTTGGCTTGATTGAAGTAGGTACATTTAGAATGGAAAAATTGCCCAGTTTTTTGTTGTTGCTTGACTTTAATTAGCCCATAGTCTCCTCTCTTTTCAACTAATGAAAAGATATTTGGAAATAAATCATGGATATAGTAGGAACACAATCAGATATTCTCAGTTTTCTATATTGCTTAACTCAGATTCTCTTAGTTCTGAGCTTATTCTACACTCCAGTATAAAAACTACTGATTTTCTTTCCCTCCCTTTTGTAGGAGATGACCAAGATAGTGAAAAGTCAAAACCAGCAGGCTCAGATGGTGAGCGGCGGGGGGTAAAGAGACAGCGGGATGAAAAGGATGAACATGGCCGAGCTTACTATGAATTCCGAGAGGAGGCTTACCACAGCCGGTGAGGGAAACACTCCCTTGATGGGAATGTCTGCTCTGCTTTTGGTATTCCTGGTGTTGACTGGACAGTTTGGAAGGAGGGGTGGATTGAAAAATGGAATAGGTCTTTATAGGCATAAGTTTTAGAGTAAATAAGTCTATGATGGAAACTCCTATTCCCTTTTCTCATTGACTGAAAGAAGTTGTCTGCTGGAATTTGATAATTCACTGATAGTTTTAAAATGGATAGTGCCGCACAATTACCTCAAAGAAGGTAGCTTTGGTTATATTGCATTTGCTCTTCTCTCCTACCTGTAGCTCAAAGTCCCCACCACCTCCAGAAGAAGAAGCAAAAGATGAAGAAGAGGATCAGACGCTTGTGAACCTGGACACATGTATGTATAGATTGCTTTGCTCTTGAGATAGGGCCTTGCTGTTTATTCCAGCCTGGCTTCCAACTTGTGATCCTCCTATCTTAACACCTGGAGTGATCTAAAAATTATTTTGAGAGAAAACTTCATGCCTTGAGTACTAGGACAGTCTTTGTATTTGTTTGCAACAACTAGGCATAATGGCACTCTCAGCACTTTTCAGGTGTTGAGTATTGCATTAAACCAGTTACATCTTTCTTTCTTAACAGATACCTCCGATCTCCATTTTCAAATAAGCAAGGACCGATATGGAGGCCAACCACTTTTCTCAGAAAAATTCCCTACCCTTTGGTCTGGGGCAAGAAGTACTTATGGAGTAACAAAGGGAAAAGTATGCTTTGAGGCCAAGGTAAGAGCTTCTTTAAAACCATTATTAGCCAGGTTTGGTAGTACATGACTGTAATCCCAACACTGTGGGAGGCAGAGGCAGGCCAATCGCTGTGCGTTCAAGGCCAGCCTGGTCTACAAAGTGAGTCCAGGACAGCCACGGCTACACAATGAAACCCTATCTTGAAAAAACAAACAAGCTAAAAACAAAAACCATTTTTTTAATTTAAGCTGTGTGTTGGACTCCTATCCAGTATGTTATTAGATCAGAAAAAAGCACCCTATTTGAACATACCTTTAACTCTGAGCAACAAATCGACCTTTATGACTTAGTTTTGTTGTTTGTTTTATGTGTTGGGGATTGAACTCAGGGCCTTGGACATAATAGGTACTTTATTTCTGAGCTACATCCCTAGGCCTACAACTTTGGTTTAGGTCTAGTAAAAGTTCTTTTTTAGATATTGAGCTGTAATCTTTTTTTTTTTTTAATTTTGTATATAAATCTTATCTTTGTAACTCAGACTTTGCACCTACATTGATCAAAGTACCTAAGAGTTCATTTTCTGACTTGACCAGGTTACTCAGAATCTCCCAATGAAAGAAGGCTGCACAGAAGTTTCTCTTCTTCGAGTTGGGTGGTCTGTTGATTTTTCCTGTCCACAGCTTGGTAAGGTTATGTTATAACTTTTTTTTTTTTTTTTTTAAGATTTATTTATTTCTTCTATATACAGTGTTCTGTCTGCATGTACACCTGCTGGCCAAAAAGAGGGCACCAAATATCATTCTAGATGGCTGTGAGCAACCATATGGTTGCTGGGAATTGAATTCAGTACCTCTGGTTAAGACAGTGCTCTTAACCTCCAGCCATCTCTCCAGCCCCTTTTGTAACTTCTTGCTTGTGTTTGTTGCCATATTGCTTACTCTGTGGAAACTTTGCAGATAGGTAATTGATTTTTTTGACTCTTCTAGGTGAAGATGAATTCTCTTATGGTTTTGATGGAAGAGGACTCAAGGCAGAAAATGGGCAGTTTGAGGAATTTGGCCAGACTTTTGGGGAGAATGATGTCATTGGCTGTTTTGCTGTAAGTGATCCTGAAAATTGAATTTGTAGTAAAGGGTAAGATAAAGGGCTGAGAGGATCCAGCCAACTGAATTTACACATTTTTATATATTTTATACTTTGATGCATTTGAGCTGTATGTTAGCCCCAACATTCATTTATTTGTTTATTTCTACATTATTTATTGGAAGGGGACATTTAATGTGAAAGTCAGGATAGTTTTCTCCTTCTATTCTGTTGGGCTTTAGGGACCAAACTTGTGTTATCCATGGTGACAAAAGTATTAAGACTTCATTGTCTTTAAAACCTGTTAACCTTAAGTGTTCTTGTGCTTTTGTTCTTACAGAATTTTGAGACTGAAGAAGTAGAGCTCTCCTTTTCCAAGAATGGAGAAGACCTGGGTGTGGCATTCCGGATCAGCAAGGAATCTCTGGCAGATCGAGCTCTCCTACCCCATGTCCTCTGCAAGAACTGTGTTGTAGAATTAAACTTCGGTCAGAAGGAAGAACCGTTTTTCCCACCACCAGCAGAGTTTGTGTTCATCCATGCTGTGCCTGTTGATGAGCGTGTGCGGACTGCAGTCCCTCCCAAGACCATAGAAGAGTGTGAGGTATACAGAAGGGTAGCCTTCATCCTGTAGAAGAGTGAGGATATGTGCTTTCAGTTGTATTTTGAAATTATCACACTTTGATAGGGAAAATAGAGGAATATTTTTTAAAGAAAGCTAGATTTTATAAAGTTTCTTTTTATTTGCAGGTGATTCTGATGGTGGGACTTCCTGGATCTGGAAAAACCCAATGGGCACTGAAATATGCAAAAGAAAACCTTGAGAAAAGATACAATGTCCTGGGAGCTGAGAGTGTGCTTAGTCAAATGAGGGTCAGTTGCTGAGAAGTGGGAAGGGGCAGTTAGTCTGCTATGATGCTTGCTCTGGGGACACTGGAAATCTTTGATAGCCTGTCCTTAGTCAGAGATGGGGGGTCTCTGAAGTGTGAGAACAAGGACCCCACACATAGAAATGTAACTTTCTTGTCAGAGTGTCTTAAGATATGCCCCATCCCTGTTCTGAAAATGTACAATCTGGAGTAAATTCAAGTTAAGTATAGAAGTGACTGCTGCAGAACATTGGCAGTGTGCTGATTCATGTGACCCATGTAGCATTTAAAGCAGCTGCAGTTAACTTTTGGGCTCTTGAACTTGTTGTATAACTCCTTGTATTTCTCATTCATCAGATGAAGGGGCTTGAGGAGCCAGAGATGGACCCCAAAAGCCGAGACCTCTTAGTTCAGCAAGCCTCCCAGTGCCTTAGTAAGCTGGTCCAGATTGCTTCCCGATCAAAGAGGAACTTCATTCTTGATCAGGTATTCAGATAAGAGGAACATATTTTTGAAGGAGATCCAGAGATGGAAAATTTGCATCTTAAAATTTTAGAATCAGGGACTAGAGAGATGGCTCAGTGGTTAAGAACACTGTCTGCTTTTTTCAGAGGTCCTGAGTTCAATTCCCAGCAACCACATGGTGGCTCACAACCATCTGGGTCCTCTACTGCCTCTTCACTTGCAAATGGAGCACTCATATACATAAAATAAATAAATAAATCTTTAGAGTCAGACACATGTAGAACTGAATTAAGAAATAGACTCAAAAGTGAGTCCAGGACAGACCAAGGCTACACAGAGAAACCCTGTCTCAGAAAAAAAAAAAGACTCAAGTTAGCTAATGACTATCTACTTCTGTGTTGTATATTTGAGATTAGACTGCTTAGCTGAGAGTGTGGACTCACATGATAAAGGGAGAGAAGGAGATTTGGATTCATTCATTCGTTTTACTTGAATTCCTGAATCTGTCATGACCTACTTTAACATTTGTGATCTTGGACAAGTTTTTTGCTTCTCTAACTTCAGTTTTCCTGGTGCATGAAATAATATTTGCCAAGTAGTGTCTCAAAGATCAAAGGAAAGGCTGGGTGCAGTGGCACATGCCTGTAATACTAGCACTCAAGGAGTTAGAGGCAAGTGGATCTCTTGAGTTCGAGGCCAGCCTGGTCTACAAAGTGAGTCCAGGACAGCCAAGGCTACACAGAGTAACACTGTCTTGAAAAAAAAAAAAAAAACTAAAAACTTGGGTTGGGGAGGGATGAAAGGAGAGCAAGGAACTTGTGTATTGACTTCTAATCTTATGCTTCAGTTGTAGAAGATAAAATTTTCTTTTTTAAGTTGATTGTTGACTTTTATTCTTAAACATGTTTATTGTTCCTATTACTAGTGTAATGTATACAACTCTGGCCAACGAAGGAAGTTATTGCTATTCAAAACCTTCTCCAGGAAAGTTGTGGTAATTGTCCCTAATGAGGAAGATTGGAAGAAAAGGTTGGAGTTGAGAAAAGAAGTGGAGGGAGATGATGTGCCCGAGTCTATAATGCTGGAGATGAAAGGTGGGCTAAAATTATATTAGAGAATCCTATATCTGGTTAATGCAACCCTACTGGAACCTCTTATTACCCAGAGTGACTCTCCACATCTAAAAGTGTAAATTGAAGAGCAGTTTAATGGATGCAAGCACTTGTGGATAAACTAATGAATAGAGTGAGTGGAGAAACAGTATACCCCTTGACTCATGGATAAGCTACAAAAAGGGGAAATACTTGTGCATGATAGCACATGCTTGTAATCCCAGCACTTGAGAAGCTCAAAAAAGAAGATTATAAATTAGGAGACCAGCCTGGATTTCAGAGTAGGACCATGTTTTGGGTGGAATAAAAAGCAGGGTGATGCATGCCTGTGATTTCAGCACATGGAAGTATAAGGCGGGAACATAAAGAGTTGGAAGCTAGTATGAGCTATTCAAGATGCTGTCTCAAAAAAATGAAAGAGTGAGAAATACTGTGTTTAAATATGAACAAGATGCATTGAAGGAAGGGGTTTGAGTGTTTGTCCAGCATTGCCCTAGTCATAGGGAAATATAATATTGAAATGAAACTTCACCCTCGTAAAATAAATTTTAAAATTAATTATATTCCAGGAAAATGGCAAAGATGATTGTTAGGATTCAAAGTAAAATACAGTAGATGTAGAAAATTGTCTCTTTACCATCGTTGATTTCTGGTATGCTAACAGGTTTATGTTTTTTCATTTTTGCTTATTTTCTTGATTTGGTACTTGCCTGACTGTACTGTTCTTTCAAGGCAGTATTAACTTTAATTATGTTGATTGGTCTTGCTTCGTGCTTTTCCCCTTGGATCATATTTTTCATCATGGTTCCTTTAGTTTGTGGCATCCCACTTAGCCTGTGAACTGCTGGCTCTGGAAACTCATAACCCCCAACTATGAGAATCAATTCCCACACCTATGAGCTAGAGTGTCTGAATTATACAGAATGAATTATTTCAGTCCATAGCAGGGACTTGGAAGAATTTAGTGCAGTTTTATAAAATCGGGATAACTGGATTCATCTTAGAATCTATGAAATAAAGTTCACTGTGAAAGTCCATGGACTTGATGTTCAGAGACAGACAGATATACTTGGCCGTTGTGTATATGATGGGAAGACCTTAGAGACTAGTAGCCTCTTTGTGTGTTCATGTGTCTTCAAGCTAAAGTCCACCCTGAGTACTAGTACTTTTAGCCTCTTTGTGTGTCCATGTGTGGTCTCTGTGGGGGTGAGGGTTAGGTGTGCTGGGAATTTAAACCCAGGGCCTTGTACATGCTAGGCAAGTGTGATGCCCTCACCTATACTCTCAGTTCCAGCTCAGCTCTGATGATGTTACTTCTTGGTCAGGCATGGGTGATGTATGCCTTTAATCCCAGAAGTGGCAGAGACAGTTGGGTGTCTGTAATATTGAGACCAGCCTGGTCTACACAGCAAGTTATAGGCTAGGCAGGCTATATAATGAGACTTAAGGGGTTTTTTGTTTGTTTTTTTATAATGTTTACTTATTCTTTTCAGTATTTTACCTACGTATATGTGTGTGTGTGTGTGTGTGTGTGTGTGTGTGTGTGTGTGTTTATTATGTGCATGCTGGTGCCCTTGGAAGTCAGAAGAGGCATCAGAGCCCCTGAACTGCAATTAGTGACAGTGGTAAGCCACCATATGTGTGCTTGGAACTTAACGTAGGTCCTCAGCAAAGGAAGCAAGGTGCTTTTAACTACTGACTCATTTCTTCAGCTCCTGAAACAAAGTTTTTATCTAAGCAACACCAAAACTCAGTTACATTTAGTCAGTGTTTCTTCTGTCCTGATAGCTCACTGCTAATTTGTTATGGTTCATTTGAGAACTTGTAAATCTAGTTTACACCTAGCCCTTTCACTTGTGCTATTACAATTTAGGGAAAAGAATTGCCTATAGCATAATAGCACTTGTCTAGCACTCAGAAGGCTGAGGCAAGAAGATTGCTGTCAGTTCTACGTAGTTCTCAGCTATGTAGATGGACCCTGCCTTTACAAAGGGGAAAAAGAAAGAAATTGGAAGCAGGAGGATCAAGGTTACTCTCTAGTATATAAGGGAATTCCAGGCCAGCCTGGGCTACATGAGACTGTGTCTCAAAAAAGCAGTTAGTTTATTTAAGGGTGAGTTGGTGTAAGCCAAGCATATTTTAGTACATTACTAAGTTAAGCTTTGAAAATGTTAGGCTTGGCTTGTTGTGGTGATCAGACCTATTATTCTGTCACGTAGGAGGGTGAGGCAGGAGGATCTTGAGTTTGAAGCTAGCACAGATTGCATAGCAAGCTAAAGTCCACCCTGAGTTATACATAACAAAACCATCTCAAAGGAAGGGGAAAAGAAAAAACTAAAAATAGAAGCAAAGTGTACTAGCAACAACTATAGTTGTAATCCTACTTTTTAGAAGGCAAGAGGCAGAAAGATTCATACCAGCCTGGGAAACATGAGGCTTTATGTCTTAAAATAAAATAAAGTAAAATAAACACAAGGGCTAGATGGCTTGGCCCTTAAAGAGTATTTACTGTGTAAGCATGAAGCCTGGTATTTTATTCCCAGCACCCACATAACAAGCCAGGTACCCTGTGTACTCCTGAAATCCCACCAGTGAACAGGGTGGCAACAGGAGGATAGTGAGCTCTAGATTCTGTGAAGAACCCTGTTTCCAAAAGAAATGGTGTGATGTAGGCATATGCCATTAATAACAAAACTGGGAATAGTAGTGTGCATCTTTTATTCCATCGGAGACAGGTAGATCTCTGAATTTAAAGCCAGGCCTTCATAGTGAGTTCTCGAATAGCCAGGGTTTATGTAGAAAGCTCCTGTCTCAAATAAATAATAGCAAACCGTGAGTGCTGACCCGTAACTAATTCCAGCACTCAAAAGGCAAGAGGCTAAGGCACTTGAAGTTAGCCTGGTTTATATAATTAAATCTCAGAATGGGAAAAACAAATCAAAGCCTTGCTATAGCTCAGTGAGAGAGAGCACTTGGTTAACATTTGCAAAACCCTGAATTTGATTCCCAAGCCACCAAAAACTAAAGTATACTTCCTTGGTACATTTTCATGCATTCTTACCCTGTCTGTGCACTTTCCAGGCCCACAAGCTTCTCTCTTATTCTTGTAGCCAACTTCTCTCTGCCTGAGAAATGCGACTATATGGATGAGGTGACATATGGGGAGCTGGAAAAAGAGGAAGCTCAACCCATTGTTACTAAATACAAGGAGGAAGCAAGGAAGCTGTTGCCCCCCTCTGAAAAGCGGACAAACCGCCGAAACAACCGCAATAAGAGAAACCGGCAGAACCGAAGCCGAGGCCAAGGCTATGGTGAGTCCTAGAGACCAGGTTACCCACAATGAGCATTCCTCCTGATAAAGCTTATTTTTTCTTATGTCCTTTACTCCCTGTTTCCTATGCTTTCCCTATAATCTTTCAGCCAGAAAATAGTTACTCAGGGGCAAAATAATGTTTCCTTGAAACACGGTACTATGCCTCATCATATGCCTAGCTTCTATGGGAGCGAGTGGGTTCCCTCCTTCACTGTGTACAATGAGATCTAATTCTCATCTTAAGATTTCTTGATGCTTTATCGAATTTACCCAATTGCACAGACAAAAGTAAATGCATTTTCCCATCATTTTAGACCATTACAATGGAAGTTGGTTGTTAGTGGAATTAATTTTCCCTCTACATGTCTAGTTTGCCATCTAAAGCCCCACTGTCTACTTATTGCTCTTTTAAAAATATTTGTTTATGTGTGTGCAACTGTAAATCAACTGGTGGTTAATGCTAGCTATGTCCTGGACACTGGGAATAAAAATGGTTCCAACCCTTTGAGTATTGTATAGATTTTATTTTGTGTACAGTGATTTGTATAGGCAACATGATACCTCAGATCCCTTTCTGGAATGAGCATCTGATCCTGTCAATGGCAGTTTTTATTCATGTTTCTAACTCTGCCATCTATTCTTTTATTGTCTAAAATGTTTGGTAGGATTAGGGAACTTCAGAAGCAGGGTGGCTTTGTTTTCTTGTGTCTATTCTTCTGCCCTCCCCTCTCAGACTCTTTTAATAAAGATCCTGGCTGGTGCTTTAATTAACAGTATGTGAGCCTGGCCAGGGCAAGCCTCCTCCCCTAGTATTGCCTTTGGCTCCAGCTTTTTGATTTCCACTCAGATTGGAGCCAGGACCCCATGCCAGCTGTCTGAGCGCCCTCTCCATTTCTCTTCCAGTGGGCGGGCAGCGCCGAGGCTACGACAACCGGGCCTACGGGCGGCAGTACTGGGGGCAGTCTGGAAACAGAGGGGTGAGTGCAGCTCTCCTTCTGCTCCTCCCACTGGGCTGTGAAGCCATTCCTATTGACTTGGGGGAGCAGAGGGGTTTGGGCTGTTTTCTTAGGGCTTTAGGGTTATGCCCACTTAATATGATCATCTGGAAGAATTTAACCTGGGAAAAGAATTTACCCTGCTTATAGTGTTAAAACAAAATATGTCTTGCTTGGTAATGGGAAACTGGGTTGTGCTTCTGGAGACCCATATATCATCACTACTCCTCTCTCTCCTTCCTCAGGGCTACCGTAATTTCTATGATCGATACAGGGGTGACTATGAACGATTCTACAGTGCTCGAGATTATGAGTACAACAGATACAGAGACTATTACAGACAATACAACCGGGATGTGAGTATAATATCTTAAGGTAGATTGAGGGTGAAGGGGGACAGGACCAGCTGGATGAGTGCCTGTTCATCCTCAGCCAGCTCTGGCTCTGAGTGATGGGGTTTCCCTCTCTTCTAGTGGCAGAATTACTACTACCACCACCAACAGGACAGAGACCGATACTACAGGAATTACTACGGTTACCAAGGGTATCGGTGAAGCCTCTGCTGTTTTCGCCTGTCAGCCATGAAGCTGAGTCTCTGGGGGTGCCAGGCACCCCCCCCCCCAAAAAAAAAAAAACCACAACCAAGGAAAACAGGGGCTGTCGGGGTTGGGCTGAGCTGCCGGGGAGGGGTGGTTGGGGGGAGGGTGTGCAAGCAGGGGTTGGGGAGGGGGGAAGTGGAAACAAACAAAACTGTACATTTTTTTTAAAGTTTGTTGAAAAGAATATTGTCTTATTCTATAAAACATTTCAAACCTAGTTAGGTTATTTGTAATCAAAAAACATTTGCACAGAAAGCAGCACTTACGGCTGCCTGTTCTGTACCCTGCAGCTGGATAGGAAAATAACTAAAAATGGCACCCTCCAACATTCTAAGACAGCTGGACTGGTAGCCCAGTAAGAGAGAGTGGGAGAAGGGGAACAACATGAGAGAACTCTGCATAGCAGGCAGGAGTGGGGACAGAGGAGATAGGAGCAGGGGCAGAGGGAGTGTGACCAGGGCAGTGGAAATAAACAATTGGCTCTTTATCAATCACTTGCACCAACTAACCGTTTGTATTTTCTTTACCAACTTTTCCCTTTTGGGATATTTAGTCTATGAAGATGGGAGGCCCCAATGTCCCATTGTCCATTTTGTTGTGCCTTTGTGCTGTCTGTCCAAGGCACAGAGACTGCTAGTTGGGTGGTTCTATTATATAGGATTCCCAGGCAAGGGGATACGGAGACTGCAGAGCAGAATAATTTGTCCCCATCCATATTATACTCCATGAATTCCTGTTAAGTCTGGAGGAAAATGGGAACACAGCCCTCAGTCTGAAGGTAGTGATTTGCCAGTCCCTAGTCTCTGTCTTCCAAGTTGATAGAGGCAAGAAAGCTCTAGAATCATTTGCTAAGATTGCCTGCCTCTTATAGTGTGAGGGAAGGATGATTCTCAGGGTTTCAGTTCACAGAAACGCAGCAAGATGCTATTCACTGCGTCAGGATATGTATATAGGTGAATCCTGTGGTGTGGGCTGTCAGGCCCAGGTGCTGAGAATAGCAACTATTTTATACAGTGTGAGGGACTCTGCCCTGCCACTGTTTTTTTTGTTTGTTTGTTTTGTTTTGTTTTTGTTTTTGTTTTGATACACAGAGTGGGTAGAAAAGGGGTGCGGGGGAGGCAGCTCAGTAGGGCTGCAGAAACTTGGGAAGACTATATGAATGTGTGTGTGAGTGTGTGCAAGGGAGCACCTTTTCCTAACTTGTTGAAACAGGATTCCTTCTGGGGTGTTTCCCTTTGAGTCTTTAGAGACTCATAAAGAGTCTTCATTTTGGGATCATATAGTTTAACTTTTAACAACACCTTCCCAGTTCTTGACAGAACAGCTACAGGTTTCTGGATTCAAGAATGTGGGCAGGATATGGCAATGCTCTTTCAATATTTAGCGTCAATTTAAATCATCTTGCTTAGCTAAAAGCTTACTCAGCAGCAGCATCCTACAGTACTTCCTGGTGATAAAACCTCTGGGCTGAGCTACTAGAACATACTTTACTTCCACTTCCTCACCTAAGCAGTTAGATCTCTTGTTTAAACTTATGCTGAGATTTGGATCTTTCTTGTCCTGATGTTTTCACTGTTCAGTGCTTCTCGGATGTGCAGACCCTTGCTCTGACTCTGGTTTGTTATGACACACCCTTCTGCTCAAGGACCTCTTTCCAAAGGCCATAGTGGGGACTGGAAGGAGACAAACTTGCTTATACTGCACCTGTCCCTTATGGTGCCACAAACAGACCTGTTTGTGGCAGTGGGTGGAATGATTGCATGCATCTTTTCTAACTCACTGACATTAACTATTAAAGGAGTTTGAGAAAGCATTGTTTATAATGTCAGGGCAAAAAGGTAAAAACTGGAGCCCAAAGAAATCCCTTTAGGGGACAAGATTATGTTATAATAGAAAACTTACTTTCTGGAGGCAGAAGCTCCCACTTAAGATGTTTAGTCCTCCAACAAATAATACTTTTATAGTAGTCTGTGACCTGGATTTGGATGATAGGGCCCTTAGATAGGCACAAACTTAACACAGAGGTTTGGGGCAATGGGCTAGAGAGTATAACTTGTTACTGATTTTTTGACACTAGAAAAGTCAAAGTCTCCTTTTTAAAAAGCTGTTTTTCTAGTTGAATGGAGAATGAAACTGCCACACCTTTGTTGGGTCTGTCCAGGAGGTCTCCTGCATCAAAGTGGATGTCTGCATTTTGTTTCTGTCTTGTGTTTTTATTATGAAAAGAAATGTTATGGGGGTGGGGGTAGATTATGGTAACAGGAGGAATCCCTGGCTTTGTTTTCCTTCAAAGACTTATTTAGTGTTTATCAGACGTCTGTTGTAGTTGTAGATGGAAAAGCTTATGAGAAAAACAAACACCACATGGAGCCTGTAAGTGTTTTTGCACAACCTGTAAAACATTCTTGGAAGTGGCCAGTGAAAAAAGTGGGGGGGGGGTACCATTTTAAAAATGTAACTGTCATTGTTTACATCTGTAACTCTACCCTGTTCTCATTACATCATTCTGGCAAAAAAATGTAGGCACAGTAGTTCCAGTTTTAGAATAAATTACCATTTGGATTGAATTTTCCTATCTCCTGTGGCTGCACTGACTGGAAGGATCATGGAAGTGTTTATTTAATAATGTATTTTTTTTAAATATTTAAGACAGAATCTCATTGTAGCCTACATTGGCCTGGAACTCTTGATCATGCCTTAAACCCCAAAATGCGGCATTTATACATGTTTGTCACCAAAACCATTTTATTCACCTATTTTAGATTTTGGTGTGTGCACAGGGATCAAGTATACATTTCGAAGACAGGGGATAGAGGTCACATGGAGGACAGAGGACAGCTTTGTGGAATCCTTCCCCTACTGTTATGTAGGTTCCAAGGACCAAACTCAAATTGCCAAACTTAAATGAAGTGCCAAGCCATTTACCAACCTTCTGTTTTTAAATGCTTAATTATTAAAATGCACTAGGTGCAACCAGGAATAGCTTCTGTGTATATGACTACTGTGCCCTTTTCTATAAGTGCCTTCACGTGGGAACCAGCTGTGCAGGGGCCTGTCTACCTGGTCTGTGCTTATAGTAACTTTTTTTTTTTTTTTTTTTTTTTAAATTTCTTGAGACACAATTGCTCTGTGTAGCCCTGGCTGTCATGGACTCACTCTGTAGACTAGGCTGGCCTCGAACTTGCAAAGATCCACCTGCCTCTGCCTCCCCGAGTGCTGGGATTACCGGCATTCGCCACCATACCCAACACAGTAACTCCTTTTTAATTTTTATGTATGTGTGAGTGTTTTGCCTGCATTTCAGTTCACCACATGCATGCAGTGCCTTTGGAGGCTAGAAGAGGGCAGTGGATCTTCTAGAACTGGAGTGACCCATGATTGTGAGCTTCCATGGGGGTGTTAGGTACTGAATCCTAGTCCACTGCAAGCGCAAGCAAGTGTGCCAAACCATTGAACCATCTCTGTCCCTCTTATACTGAGATCTTGAGTCATTTGAGTGGAAAATTTAACTCCGGCTCTGCTAAAATCAGTTGGATGTTTGAGGTTAAGTGAAAGGTTTCATTGATGAAAGCCATTAAGTTTATGCACAAGTAATTATTATCTAAGAAGGAAATTTCTGCATTTTTCTAATGACTGAAGAATGAAAGTTAAAAAAATAATGCGATGCTAGTATTGAACAGACAGGGCTTTGTGTGTATGTGCTGCTGCTGGCAGCTAGAACTTTGTTTTGTTTTTGTCTTTTGAAACAGTATTGACTATTGTAGCCTGGGCTGCTACCATACCAAGCTCACTAGGACTTTTGGGTTTTTAACCTGTTAAATTTGTATGTGAGGGCATGCATGTGCTACAGCATACCTGTGAAGATCAGAGGATGACTTTTGGGATTTGGTTCTGTATTCTATCATGGGTAGGTCCCAAGGATTGAACTCTGGTCATCAGACTTGATGGCAGGCATTTCTAACCACTGAACCATTTTACTGGCCTCTATTATGGAGGCACTTTAGTGTTAGAGCTAATTATAATTATGCACAGCTGGGCATGATATCACATGCCTTTTATTCTAACACTAGGTAGGCCAAGGCAGAAGGCCTACCAGTATATTCCAGATCAACCTGGCCTACAGAGCAAGACCCTGTTTCAAAAACACCAAGAACAGATGAGTGTAGTGGTGTGTATGTGTGATCCCAGCACTTGGGAGTTGGAGGCAGGAGGATCAGGAGTTCAGACCTGTCTCAAAAAAATCCACTAATCCCTCATCTCTATTTTTATACGTTTCCCCTGCATCTATTTGTATGCACCATGTATATGTGTCTGGTTTGTGCAGAACAAAAGGGGCTTTGGGTCCTCTTAAAGTGGAATTAAGATCGGATATTAGCCAACACATGGGTGCTGAGAACTAAACCAGGTTCTCTGCAAGAGCAACAGCTAATCCTAACCTCTGGGTCATCTCTTCTAGCCCCACTATAATTATTTTTATATTATTTTTATTTTAGTGGGTAGAGCTTACATCTTCAACCAAATATTCACCCCTAATTTGAATAGCTAATCAAATTGAGTGAGAAAAATAAGATGGGTGTTGGAGGTAAGATAAGGTGAGGGTTAACTTAATATCAGTGCTATGTTTTGAGCACTTTTGGCTTTTTGCCACATCTGAGCTGATAAGATTTTCTTACTACCCTGGTATTTGCCCAACACTGATACAGTAGCAAAAGAGTTTTTTTATTTTGGTTTCTGCTAAACCTTGTATACAATTTAAGCATATACAAATAGAAAAAACATTCATTAGGTATTAGGCACCTATGGCATACTAGGCATTGTGAGCAAGCAGGGATTATAACAAGGATCCTTCCTGGAGTTTCCGCAAGTACCAAGAACGAAACAAAGATTCTAAGTACTCAAGTCAGACTTCATTGCTGAAAGTCTGGTGGTGGTGTGTTTGCACACTTGTGGAGGTCATAGGAACTCTGAGCTCTCCCCCACCACCTTGTTGAATTCAGGGCAGGAACTTGGGTCATTGGGCCTGCAGTTAAGATCCTCTACCTGTTCAACCATTTGGTTGTGACACTGGAGAATCTGCCTGTCAATACTCCCACCCCACTTTTGTTTCCAAGATGACAAGGGAAAGGAATAAAGAAAGGACAAGATTTAAGAAAGATAGGGTTTGGGAATGATGGGCTGTCCTGAGATCATATTGGTCATTCTGGGCAGCCCAATTATATCCATGCACAAAATTTGAAATGGCCTAATGAGACCTTCCTACCCAGAAAGATGTGTCTCTGAAGTTAGGATCTTGATGCATGATTGAAAACAAATGGAACAGTTAATCCTGGCCTAGAATCCATAACACCTTTGTTCACTCTTAGAACAAAAAATCTGCGAGGAGGTAATCTGGGTCTCCTAAACCTTCACTGCTGATTTTTTTTTTCTTTCTTTTTTTTTTTTTCCTCGAGACCGAGTTTCTCTGTAGCCTTGGCTGTACTGGATCCCATTGTAGATCAGACCAGCCTCAAACTCAGAGATCCACCTGCCTCTTCCTCCCCAGGTGTTGGGATGTAAACACCTCTGCCAATTCTTAATCTAGGAGGCACTCAAGAGATGGTCTCTGGCCAGGCAACATTCTGAACTCTCGAAAAGAGGTGTTAGGTACTGTACTCTCTTAATTGATGTTCTTCAAGCCGGGCTTGGTGGCACATGCCTTTAATCCCAGCACTAGGGGAGGATGCACAGAGAAACCCTGTTTCAAAAACAAAACAAAAGTAGATGTTCTTCAGTCACTTTGAGGAGAAAATAACCCCAATTCACCAAGACACTGAAATTTACTCCTTATTTACCTCCCAGAGAGACCAAGGAACAGTGCCGCAAGATGGACTGGAACACATTGCGAGGTTCTCTTGCAAAACCCACATTGTGCTTCTTGGGCCCAAGTCCTAGTGACTAGTTGTTTTCTTTAAGTCAGGATCTCATTGTGTAACCATAGCTGGCCTCAAACTCAAGAGGTCCACCTGCTTCTGCCTCCCGAGTGTTGGGAGTACTGGCGTGGGCCACCACACTGAACTATGAACCTAGCCTTCTTTTTAAACTCCGGTGATTGGTCTCTCTAAAGGATGTCGAGTTCTAGATTCTATGGGGCAAGGACCCGGACTCTGACTTCGAAAGGGCAGGGGCAGCCATTTTAAGATCAGGGGACCACGAAAGGGATCGTTCCATAGTGGAAACGCTGGGGGCCGCCATTTTAAGAGCGGTGCTGTACCTCACCCTTGGTGCGTGCCGCTATGCCAGTACGCAGGGGCAGCCGCCATCTTGGACACCGGCTGCGGGCGCTGAGTCGCCCTGTCCCGCCCTTCCGCTCCTCAGGACACCTGCACCCGGAGCTGCTGTCCCTGGGCCCGCGGGAACCCACCCGCTCGGTCTGAAGTGCTCAGTGCTCTCGTGCGCCTGTGAAGGCTCCGCGGCTTCTGAGGGCTCGTTTAAACAACCCCCCACTGGGGGCGCTCGCGCGCCTCACACCCAGCGATCTCCATTCCTTACAATGTCTAACCGGCTCGACTGGCCCTGTTCCCCGGATATGGCAAGTGTATCGACTGAGGAGCCTCTTTCCCAAGAACGCTAACACAGGCGCTGTCCTCTGAGGCTCTGGATGACTTTATTCTTCAAATGCCTTTACCTTTCCAGTAGCTCCAGGTGAGACTGAGAACAAGCACCCGGGCATCCCCCTCTCCATTGCCTGAACGGATGGATCACAGAGGGAAACAGGCAGAAATCTAGTATTTAAGCGGGGTCCTTCTGTGGATAGAGTAAAAGGTGCTTGGAATTGGCTTCAAAGAGTGAGGAGATGGGTTAGACAAGGGTTAGGAGGGCCTTGTGCTTCAAATAATCTCAGGATATGTACGGGTAGAAATACTGCTACAATCTCCGATCTAAGGGTGGGTCTCGGAGCGGGATGCTGAGGAGTTCAGAGGAGGGACAGAGCCCTTCAGAGGAGGGCACAGAAGAACTTTTTCTCCCGGAAGGGGTTCTCCGAAGTGGGCACAGGAGTGATGAGGGGATCCTCACAAGCGTGGGCATCACAGTAAGTCATCAGGTCTGCTGCTGCCTTGGACACCTGGGATACAGCCAGGAGGAAGACATTAGCCAGAATTCTGAAAGGGACTGCAGCTCCCTTCGCCATTTAGGCTATCTTTTAGTTTCTAGTGCCCTTTGAGACAGTCCTCTCCCCCATCTCCAGTCCTCAGGAACAGCTTTGCTGACAAAGCCCAATTTCTGCTTCTGTCCTTGGCGTGTTAAAAAAGAAGCACCCCCCCCCCCAAGCGGTTTGATAACCTACAGCTGAGGCTTGAAAAACTAACGGGTGCCAGGGTCGCACCCACCTTTATCCGGCACAAGCTGGCTTCAATCTTAAGCTGTTCCACCATCTTGCGTGCTTGACCAATACTCATTGTGCTGTTAACAGGGGTCTCCCCTTTCATCCTAGAGAAAAGACAGACAACTCAGTACTCTCAGCTGAAACACTCAGCTCTTCAACAACCACACAGACCAAAATGTTGAGTTTGTTCCCCAATATTTTGGCCCCCTCTTATCTCCACTCTCCAGTAGCCATTCAATCTCTTTTTCTCTGAGGGGAGAATAGAAAAGATGAGATGAAATTATTTCCAAATCCCTTATACTAAGGATTTCAGGATTTTCAGTCTCTGAGCCAATTATGTTACCAACAATGAAAGCCTCAGTCAGAAAGAGCCCCACCCTGATGAAATCACATCAGCCACCTGTCACCTTAAGCCCTAACGAGAGAGAAACAAGCTGTTCTCTACTCACCTGAAGTGACAGGCGGCGGCAGCAGCCTGGGATGTAGGGTCAGTGAGGAGGGGGCACCAAACCCTGCCTCAGGTGCTCCACCCTGAAGGGACTTGCAGCTTAAAATATCTGTAGCAGTGACAGCTAATGCAGAGAAGGTCACTAGAGATGCTCAGACTGGAGGTCCTTGGAGGGGTGGTCTCAGTTTCTGCAGTGCAATCACTGGCCAGATGGCTGGTACCTGAAGGATGAAGGATGCTAGAAGGAGCTGCTCAGATTCTGGAGCATACCAACTGCCTGGCCAGTGGGGGAGTCTGGCTGCTGTTTGCATCCCCTGTGAACACCCCCACTGTTTCTATGTCACTACCTGCCCCTGCCCATTGTAGAAGCCCTTGGTCTGAACTTGAGCCCTACCCAAAGGACCTGAGGCTGAAGCAGGCTCCCCTCTCAAGTGGGGTGGTCTGGGCTTGTGACAGCCCCTGCAGTAAAGTCTGTACCTACTGCAGGAGACCCTGCTCATTTGGAAATCTGACATCAGCTGAGCTGCCCCCCCCCCCCAACCCTGACACAGCACTTAGCACCTGAATCTTCTTTTCTTTCAGTGACCCTCCATACTGCAGATCCAGGGAAAATGTGATGCTCTACAGGTGATCAGCTTTTAGATCACCACTTTCTAGCCACAAGTAACCTGAGTGGGGCAATCCAGGGTGGCAGAGATAACCAGCAGGAAGATAATCTAAAGAAATGATACACCAAAGAAGAGAAGCTGGGGAAAAAGAGACATGCAGAGACCAGATCAAAGGACCAGACAAAGAGGAGGTAAGTGACCATACACAGTAGTTAGTATGAATATTGTGAACACAGGTGGGACTCTTGGAGTGAGGAATTGGGGAGATAGGGAATTGATTTCAATTTTTTTCGTGTAACTTGAGAAGATTGTTGCTAAAAAGATGTATATTGGCCTTGCCTCCTGGAAGATGGTTTTCTAGAAACCACCTTCAGACACCTAGTCTTGTGTTTTTGTAGGTATTCTGAGGCAGACTGCCCCACACGGGTCACGGAAGGTCAATCACGCAGCATAAACACTGGAGATTGAAAGGAGTTGAAATGCTGCCACGCTTGACTAGCGAACAGCAAACCATCCGTGCAGCACACAATATTTTGGTTCTAGAAGTGTGCAAGGTTTTCTGGGCAAACCCGTCTTTCCCCCTCCATTTCCTTTGGACGCCTACAGGCCCAAGGAACTCTGCTGAATAAAAATTGCACCCATTTCACCATCTCCACTCTCCCCCACTGCCGGCCTTCACCCGGATCTCTGGCTTCTGGGTGAAAAGGCCTGTGGTGAAGTTATCAGGGAAGGCCAAGATTGTGGCCTCAAAAGGAGGACCCTGCTAGGTCTCAGTCCGCCTTGGGGATTATGTGTATTGCCCCTTTAGTCACTCAGCTGAAGTGTAATGGGCTTCTGACAGAGGTGGTGGGGAACAGGAAACAGGGGCAAAGCATTTTACGGGCTCTGGTCTATGTGCAGGGCTCCGCCCCTGCAGGAGCCCTTCCCCTGTGCTTAACAGACGACTGTCAGAAGGGGCGGGGCTTCCTGGGCAGGCGAAACTCCCTTCTCTGTTTGCTTGGGCAGCCGGAGGCTGGTGAGTTGGCCTCGCTGAGGTGGAGGGCTGATATCCACCGCATTATTCTAGGGGTAGGCGCCGCAGCGTCAGCCGCAGGGAGCTGTGCAGGATAGGGATCACCCTCTCCGTGAGCGAACGCAGGTCCGGGCAGAGGGGAGGAACTCGGGAAGCCATTGTGACTGCTCTAGGGCTACTGGCTTTGAGCTGGACTGGCTGTGCGCTCGTAGGCAAGTCACCCACTCCTGCCAACCCTTGGCATTGTGGATCCATGTCATTCCTGTTTTGGGAGAGATTTAAGGTCCTGGATCTACTTATGTAATCTGTAAATGTATCAAGGAGGTTTGTCCCAGGCTCCGATGACTGGAGGAAGGGCTCTGGAAGAGAACTCAGGGAGGAAGGTGAAGGGATAATTGGAAGAGAAGCACATGTGAAACAATGACTTTGCTTTGTCTTGCTATCTCTACTTCCTCAAAGCCAGTTTAATAAGCTGGTCTTCCCCAAATATCCTAGGAAAAGGAAGAAAAAAAAAACAAACTATTTTTCTCCCACTTTCTCCAGGAACCTTCAGCTGCCCTGTCCCATGGCCAAGGGTGTCGTCCCTGTGGAAGACCAGCCAGAAACTCAAAGCCTGAAGCTGGGGCCAGATCCCCAGCTGTCCCCATCATGGTCAATGACCCACCAGTACCAGCCTTACTGTGGGCCCAGGAAGTGGGCCATGTCTTGGCAGGCCGTGCCCGTAGGCTGCTGTTACAGTTTGGGGTGCTCTTCTGCACCATCCTCCTCTTGCTTTGGGTGTCTGTGTTTCTCTATGGCTCCTTCTACTACTCCTACATGCCAACAGTCAGCCACCTCAGCCCTGTGCATTTCCACTACAGGTGAGAAGGCTGTACCATTAAAGTAGAATCTTACCTTGAAAATTACTACAAGGACTCCTAGTTTGTCCTCTGTTGAATCCCAGTATTGACAGAGGATGAAATCTTATCCCAGTGTGCTGACAGGACTTCTTACCTCACGAGCCAAGGCTGGACAGGTCGGTGCTGGTAGGGCTCTAAGTTCAAGGTGTACCTCTGCTGCTAAATTCTGGTTAAAACCCTATAAAAAGAGCCTGGTCACATGTATGTTACCAGTCCTTGAGAGGCTAAATTGGAGGATTACTATGAGTTCCAGGCCAGCCTGGGCTACAGGTTGAGACTTTGTCTCAATAGGATTAAAACACATACACACACATACCGAGGAAAAGAAAATTCACCTTTAAAATTTTTTTTTTATTTATGTATTTTATATGTGTGAGTGCTTTCTCTGCATGTATGCCTGCATGACAAAAGAGGGCATCAGATCCTATTATAGATGGTTGTGAGCCACCATTGTGGTTGCTGGGAATTGAACTCAGGACCTCTGGAAGAGCAGCCAGTGCTCTTTCTTAACCACTGAGCCATCTCCCCAAGCCCAGAAATTTCACTTTGAAGACTGAAATAATAAGTCTGCTCTGTTAAGTCACTGTAGAATTTTGACCTAACTGAACCTGTTGGGCATAAGAATTAATTATCCTGGCTTTTAACACAGGAGGCATTAGGAAATATCTCTTTTGCTTTTAGTTTACTGCCACTCACCCCCAGTGGTATACACAGTAACTCAAGGTACATACCTCCTAGAGTCCTACTTCTTACCTAGATTCCTTATTAATGTACATTGCCAGATTCTCTCTATGTCTCCCAACAAAAGCTGTAAGACTTTTAATTATTACATACAGAAAACAGTTTTATTTTCAATTTAAAATCTTTTTACCCTGTCCTGAATCATGTGCTGCCATTTCTAAAGTAGATCCTCTTAAACATTTAGAGAACACGAGGCATATATATATATATATATATATATATATATATATATATATATATAGGATATGTGGGTACATATGCATGCCCAGGTATAAGCTGTGTACCCATGTACAATGTGCAGTTTTTGCCTATAATTTATCTTAGAAGATGTACCCATAGATCCTTTTGGAGGAATCTTTTCTTTTCTTTTCTTTTCTTTCTTTCTTTTTTTTTTTAATTAGGCTCCAGATCAGAACTCTTGAATCAGAATCTTTAGTGGTAGGACCATGAGCAATTCAAAGAAGCCTGTAGAAACACCTAAGTGTCCTTTGGTTCCAACCTATAGGTTTTGTTCTTTGTTGTTGTTTGTTTGTTTTGTTTTGTTTTTCTTTTCGAGACAGGGTTTCTCTGTGTAGCCTTGGCTGTCCTGGACTCACTTTCTAGACTCCACTCGCTGGCTTCGAACTCACGGAGATCCACATTCCTCTGCCTCCCTGAGTGCTGGGATCACAGGTGTGTGCTACCACACCCTGCAGGTTCTGTTCTAATGAGGAAACAAACTGAAATAGTGGGAAGAGAATGAAAGCCTTATTCTGATATCTTGAATCTTGTGGCCACATTTGTTCTCCATGTCTCTGTAATGGAGAAAAGGATGATGGGAGTGGGCAGGCAGGCAGGCAGAGTAGGCTCTGTAACTTCACAAATCATCACTGCTCCCTTCTCATTTAGGACAGACTGCGATTCCTCCACCGCCTCACTCTGCTCTTTCCCTGTTGCCAATGTCTCCCTGGCTAAGAGTGGACGTGATCGGGTGAGTATGAGAGCTAGACAGAAGTATCAGGAAAGTTTTGATTGCTTGAGAAAGATGTGGAGAGCAGAGGTTGAGCAACAGACATTTAAGAGAAAGGCACTGAAGCAAATAGAGGTTGAAAAGAAAATCTAGAATTTGGTCCCAGTCAACTGTCAACACATACTGAAAAAAAAAAATCTAAAATTTAGTCCCAGTCAACTTTCACATATACATGTCTGTAAACCCGCACTAGGAGGAAGAGGCAGGAAGATTATTCCAAATTTGATATCAGCTTGGTCTGCACAGCCAAACCCTATATCCTCAGAAAAGAGGAGGAGGAGGGTTGGGGATAAGTCCCAGTCAGTAGAGTATTTGCCTCCTCTGTATAAGGCCCTGGATTCAATTTCCAGCGCCAAATTAAAATCAGAATGATTGTGTATGCAGCAGGCATTAGGACTGGTCCCATTCAGCAGTTATCACTTGAATCATAGCTCCTAGATAAAGTTTGGGTTTTGGGCCCAAGTGAACAAATCAGCTAGTTGGAAGAGCATGACACCCATTTAAGTATGAGAAGCTAGTATGTAAGGCTGGGTATGGTGGTGCATGACTTTAACTCCAGCACTTCTAAAGCAGAGGCCAGCCTCATACACACAAAGTTCCATGCTAGTCAGGGCTATATAATGAGACTCTGGTTTTCTGTTTGTTTGTTTTGAAACAAGGTTTTTCTGTGTAGCCTTGGCTGTCCTGGACTCGATTTGTAAACCAGGTTGGCCTCTGCCTCCCTGAATGCTGGAATTGCAGGTGTGTGCCACTGCACCCAGCTGAGACCCTATTTTAAAAAGGGGGGGGGGGAAGCTGGTATATAAATATAAAATTATGAAATGAGTAACAAGTATGTGTTACCTGTTATTACAAAGGGTACTGTGCCAGAGGACTGGCACAGGATAAGTTAGTTCCAGGCCACCCCTTATTGGTACTCTGTTATAAAAAACAAAGGAGCCAAGACTTGGGAGCTAGAGGCAGAAAGGTTAACTTGGACTACATGAAACAAAACAAAAAGTGATTAGCCTTGAAGTTGTGATTACCCTGTCTCAGCCTCCTTTGTGCTGGAATTAAAGGCACTTCTACCACCTATTTAGGCTGGAATAGTGGGGGACCTCAAACTTCTGTCTCCTAAATAAGTATGCATCACCATGCCTGGGCTGGATATATTTTTTCAACCATTAGTTTTCTAGGTTTTTAAAAATAGGTTCATTAAGATAAAATTTATGAGCTGGAGCAATGGCTCAGTGGTTAAAAGCACTGTATGCTCTTCTAAAGGACACGGATTCAATTCCCAGCACCTACATGGCAACTCAAAACTGTAATGCCAATCCCAAGGGATCTGACACCTTCACACTAATGCACACAAAATAAAATAAAATTATATAAAAAAAGAAAATTTGTATAATATATAGTTTACTTCTTAAGGTATGCAGTTCTCACATTTTATTTATTTATTTATTTACTTGCTTTGTGGAACAGTTTCACTGTGTATCTTTGGCTGGTCTGGAACTTGCATTGGAGATTAGGCTGGCCTTGAATTCACAGAGATCCATTCCCTCTGGCCTCCTAAGTACTGGGATTAAAAACATGCACTGCTACCCAAGGCAGTTCTATCATTTTTAATAAATTCAGTGTTTCACACACAGAGACACAAATAGAGAAATTTAATTTTGTTTTATATGTTTTTTTTGTTTTTTGAGACAGGGTTTCTCTGTGTAGCCCTGGCTGTCTTGGAACTCACTGTGTAGACCAAGCTGGCCTCACAGAGATCCTCCTGCCTCTGTTTTCCAAGTGCTGGGATCAAAGGTGTATGCCACTACACCCGGCCCAAGTTAATTTAATTAATAAACTACTCTGCCTTAAAAAAATTAAAAGAGAGACCAGGATAACAGTGTGAACTGCCACAACGGTGATTGTGCAAGAGCTGTCTAGGGAGGCAGAGCAGTGCTTGCTTAATTAGCAAGTGAGGGCAGGCTGGGCCCAGGGGGACAGCTCCAGTGGCACACAGGCCAGAATTACAGATGGCCCACTTGGCAATGTGACTGTTCACTTTTGGAAAAGATGCAACAGGGCTCTTCCCGGAACAACATAGTGGTTTAGTCAGACCTTAATGCTGACAGGATGAGTGTGGTGGTACACGCCCAAAATTTCAGAACCAAAGGCTGAAGCAAGAGAAGTTCCATGAATTTGAGGCTATCTAGTAAGTGCCAGGCTAACCAAAGATACATTGCAAGACCCTCTGAAAACACAGGGTTGGTTCCCTACCTCATTAACCCCAACCCCCAAATAAAATCAAACCAGCAAACAAGAGAGAAGTCTGGCCTGGAAAGCCAAGGTGTCCAGTGACCAGAAGGGGGCAGCATCGACTCAGTATGAACAATGGGAAGTTTGTGGGCTGGCTACCAAAGGGAGTTTGTTGTGTACTTAAAGGAGCCAGGTATGGTGGCGCATAGTTTTAAGCCCAGCACTGGGGAGACAGAGGCAGATGAATCTCTGAATTTGAAGCCAGCGTGGTCTACAGAGTGAGTTCTAGTCCAGTCAGAGCTACATAGTGAGACTGTCTCAAGACACCACAAAAAGAATTTTTTTTAACAAGATGCGTGTTCCCTTTGTCAGGTGCTGATGTATGGACAGCCATATCGAGTCACCTTAGAGCTTGAACTGCCAGAATCCCCTGTGAATCAAAACTTGGGCATGTTCTTAGTCACTGTTTCATGCTATACCAGAGGCGGCCGAGTCATCTCCACTTCTTCACGCTCAGTAAGTGTTTATGGACAGTCTAGGAAGTTGTGGACAATGATGGGAGAATCAGAATATCTGGCTCATGCTTCAAGAGAAGACTTCGTTGGCTCTGAGATCAGGCCCAAACCAGGATAAGTGAAGAATCCACTTAAGAAGCCAAACATTTGCCAAACACCTAGTTTCCTATGGGCATGCTCACCTTTGGAACAGTCTAACAAGTACAGCTGCTCTTAGAACAGGCAGCTCAGAACAAACCAGCTTTGAGACAACTGGCCTAACTGCTAGAGTTTAGAGTAACTTCCTCCTAGCAAGACAGGAAAGAAATATAGTTATTAGCATGCAGTGGATGCTCACTGAGCGCTGGACCCACAGTTAACTGTCAGCAGAACCATATTAGGGACACCTGCCTTTCACGGGGACCAAAAGACTCCAGAGGGAAAGGTGCATGAGAGCAGACTGCTTACCTCAGGCAGGTGTTTTAGAGAGGGAGGCCTTTACTGTTTTAGGATCAAGAAATGAGGTCAGGCAGTAGGGAGCCATTACAGGTTGGGTGGACATTTGTTGTCTAAAAGAGACAATGAAGGAAGAGGGGGTCTAGAATGAACTTTTGCCTACATGGACTGCTCAATCATGGGGCAGCCTGGAGAGAGCACCTGTCTCCAACATGTTCTCATGGCCCTGTCAGGTGATGCTACATTACCGCTCCCAATTGCTCCAGATGCTTGACACGCTGGTGTTCTCCAGCCTCCTGCTGTTTGGCTTTGCTGAGCAGAAGCAGCTCCTGGAGGTAGAGCTCTACTCAGACTATAGGGAGAATTCGGTAAGTGGAATGATGAAGTAGGAGACAGCCCTCTAGTTGGCCCAGGATTGCACCTGGGCCGTGGGCAAGCAGCTGCAATAGCCACAAATGCTGGAAGTGGACCTCAAACTGGCTACTAGAAGTGAGAGCAGCAGGAGACTGACTGGACTCTGCTCTCACCCCTCCCCTTGCAGTATGTGCCAACAACTGGAGCAATTATTGAGATCCACAGCAAGCGCATCCAGATGTACGGAGCTTACCTCCGGATCCATGCCCACTTCACTGGGCTCAGGTAAGTAAGCCATGGAAGTAAAGCCTAGCAGCTTTCCTATGACCTGCCCCAAAATGAAAAGGGTCCCAGGCAGAGATGACTAGTATGACATCACATGTTTTACAAAAGCCAGGGGCTCTCCTCTCTGGCTTCACTATGTGTATTGGCTTTCAGAAGAGCTTCTTAAAACTCCCATGTGAGCAGCCAGAAATATGGCTCAGGGGTTAAGAGCACCCACAAGGTAATAGCTCACGACCATCTTGTAACTCCAGTCCCAAGGGATATGATGTATTCTTTTGGTCTCTAGGGACCCCAGGCATCCATGTGGTGCATGCGTATACACTCAGGCAAATACTCATACACATAAGAATTTTAAGAATCATTTTTTAAAATCCCATATGTGATCACACACCCTTTCATTCCAGCACTGGGGCATGGGGGGTACCAAGGAAAGAAATCTTGAGCTACAAAGCAAGACACTCAACATAAATAATGAAAAGGGGGAAAAAAATTATCATGAGTCAGGTGCAATGTCCTGTGTAGTCCCTGCTGCTTAGGCAATATAGTGAGATCCACATATACCACCCTCTCCCCACCCCCATCTCTGCTCCAGTGAAGTCTGTCTTGTTCCATTGGCTCAGCAAGAATTGGAGTGACTAGAGAGGTTATAGTTAAAGCCATTGTAATGCTATGGCCCTGTGGTACCTGAAGCCCTGTGACCCTGAGACTGCCTGAAGTTCTTGACTTTTTTTCCCCCCAAGATTTATTTATGTATTATTTATACAATATTCTGCCTGCATGTGTACCTGCACACCAGAAGAGAGCACCAGATCTCATTATAGATGGCTGTGAGCCACCATGTGATTGCTGGGAATTGAACTCAGGACCTTTGGAAGAACAGTCAGTGCTCTTAACCTCTGAGCCATCTCTCCAGCCCCATCCCTTTTTAGACCCTACAGTGTGGTCTGGAAACTGGGCTGGGAGTGAGTACCATAGTAGCAGAGGCAAATATTTCTGGAGTGATAGCAACCAGTGCTATCTGGTAACTGCTACTCCATTCCTGACCCTGTTCCCCCCCTCAGGTACCTGCTATACAACTTCCCCATGACCTGCGCCTTCGTGGGTGTCGCCAGCAACTTCACGTTCCTCAGCGTCATCATGCTCTTCAGCTATATGCAGTGGGTGTGGGGTGGCATCTGGCCCCGACACCGATTCTCTTTGCAGGTCTCAAGGGGCAAAGACCCTGTTTTTCTTCCTTTGGTGATCTGTGTCAGTGAACGGGGCATGCTAGGGATAGGGTGTGGTTACTGCAAAGGGAAGTCAGGCTTCACTGCTCAGCAGTTACTTCTCCACAGGTTAATATCCGACAAAGGGATAGTTCACGACATAGTGCCCAGTGTCGGATCTCTCGCCATCAGCCAGGTAAGTGGGTTGCTTTACGGTATGATTGAGAGGTAAACTGGCTGGGTTAGAGGGGCTCCCTGCCTCCGGGATGAAGCATATGGTACTCTGGAACCCCAGGGTGTAAGGAAAGGCTGAAGGAGGTGCAGTTGGCACTGTAAGCCAAGTGTAGCCACTGAGCCCAGCTGTTCTTTGTTTGTGGGACCTGAAGGCCAGGAGGAGTCTACCCAGCAGTCAGATGTGACAGAGGATGGTGAGAGCCCTGAAGATCCCTCAGGAACGGGTATGATTCGGTCCCTCTTCCTCGATCCTCCCCAGCACTCCCTTTCAGTGCCTGGGTCTCACCTCCTTTCACACCTCTGTTATTCCCCTTTTGGCTGAAGAGGGCCAGCCGTCTGAGGAAGAGAAACCAGAGAAGCAGTCCCAGAATGGAGAGGAGGAGCAAGAGCCAGAAGCTAGTGATGGTGAGGAGCACTGTGTGAAGGGGTGATGTGTGGTGGGAATGCCATCTCACCCCTCTTGTCTCATTTGCAATTTTGTTTGGCCCTTTCCTGGCTCAGGTTCAGGCTCCTGGGAAGATGCAGCTTTGCTGACAGAAGTTAACCTCCCTACCTCTTCTTCAACATCTGCCCTTGCCCCTGAGACACTGGGTAGCCAAGAGCCTTCTAGGGGTACCCTCAGGCAACGCCCAACATGCTCCAGTTCTTGAACAAAAGAGGGCTGATTCCTCACATTCCAGCACTTTCCCATCAGACCCTTTTCCCCTTGTTCCCTTAATAAACTATTTTGTGCCAGCTGCTTGTGTGGGCATCAGAGGACAAGTTTTGAAGTTAATTCTCTCCTTACACCATATGGGTTCTATAGAGTCAGACTTGGGTCATGGAAGATTTTGTTTTATATGTGTACCACATGTGTGCAGGAGCCCATGAGGTCAGAAGAGGGTATCAGATTCCCTGGGAATGGAGTTACAGATGGCTGTTAGCCTTCACAAAACATGAGTGCTGGGAACAGAACTGCAATCTCTGCAAAAGCAATAAGCACTCTCAACTGCTGGCCTGACATCTCTTCTGGCCCCGGTGTGTTCCCTTTTTAAATATTTATTTTTAATTCTGTGCGTGGGTATGTGCATGTGAGTTCCAGTACCCTTAGAGGCCAGAAGAGGCCATTAGATCCCCTGGAGCTGCTGTTATATGGCTGTGAGCCACTGTCTTAGTTAGGGTTAATATTGCTATGATGAAATACCATGACCAAAAAACAAGTTATACTTCCATATTGCTGTTCATCAAAGGAATCAGAACAGAAACTCAAAACAGGTCTGGAACCTGGAGGCAGGAGCTGATGCTAAGGTACTGCTTACTGCCTGCTTTCTCATAGAACCAAAGCCCACAAGCCCACAATGATCTGGGCCCTCTTCCATCAATAACTGATTAAGAAAATGCCTTACAACTGGATCTTATGGAGGCATTTTCTCAAGATTCCTTCCTTCCAGATAACCTAGTTTGTGTGTCAAGTTGACATAAGACCAGCCAGCACAGCTACCATGTAGGTGCTAAGAATTGAAACTAGATCTTGAAAAACCAGTCAGTACTCTTAACTACGGAGCCATCTCTTTATCCCCTGTATTGCTGCTTTCTTCTTCCTTTGTTTCTTTATTTCCTTTTTTTTTTTTTCCGAGTCAGGGTTTCTCTATGTAACAGAGCTCTGGCTATTCTGCTATCCTGGACCAAGCCAGCCTCAAACTCACAGAGATCCACTTGCTTCTGCTGGGATTAAAGGTGTGTACTACCATACCTGGCCCCTATGTTGCTTTCTTTAATAAATAAAAGTACAAGAGTATTACATGTTCCAAGGAGATTTAAGATTGACAGTTGTTTAGTCTATTATCTAATATCCCTAATTATACTCAAATTTTTTCTTGTACTAAGTATAGGCATTAGACACTATCCCAGCTGCTCAGCTGAGACAGGAATGCTCTTTGAGCCCAGAGATTGTTGGTTGACTTAGACAATTGCTTAATTTTCTTCCCTTTTTTCCCCCAAAGATTTATTTATTATGTATATAGTGTTTTGCCTGCATGTGATACCATTATAGATGGTCATGAGCGACCATGTGTTTGCTGGGAATTGGACTCAGGACCTCTGGAAGAGCAACCAGTACCCCTAACCTCTGAGCCATCTCTCCAGCCCCCTGTTATCTTCCTTTTTTATTATTTATTTTGAAACATTCTTAGAGGCTGGCCTCAAACTTTTAGCAACTCCCCTGCCACAGATCCGAAATACTGAATTACAAGCTTGCACCACCTCATCTAGCTGGTAGGACTTTGTTTTCTACAGAGATAGGGTCTCACTGTGTAGCACAGGCTATTTTCTAATGATCCTACCTCAGGATCCCTAGTGCTGAGAAATTCGGGCATGCACCACCACACTCAATGTAGCTGTTTCCATCCATAATCTAGGGAAGAAATCCTATCCTGGCCAGTAATAGGCTTCCTACTCTATCCACGTGATTCTCATCTCTCTCGGGGAGGGGGATAGGGTAGGGCGGGTCTGGAGAGCTAGGATACATCATTCTGGACTTTACACCCCTCCCTTCTCTGTCCATTGGGAGGCAGAAGACAGGAAATGACTGCCATGGATGTGGTAGGATTTTTACCAAAACAGCATTTTTGTAATTCAGGCCCCATACCATCCACAGATGTTTTCCTGTCTGATACCAGCCAGGTGCCCTCCCTCCTCTGAAAATACTCCTGTCCCCACCCCTTCACATGACTGTAGCCTTTGGATTCTCAGTTCCTGGCCGTTTTCCACATTTCATTCCTGTCAGAACCCAGGCATCCTGACTTCCAGCTGAAACCACTGCACGCGGCTTCCCCTATTCCTGGCCCCCGTGACTCAGTCCCTCTGAGGGAACCAGCCCTCTTCTTGGCAATCGAGCTAGGTGGTGACATCAGAGGGGTATAAAAGTTCTCAGCCAAAACAGAATTGAAGATACAACCTGACAGTGGCCTGTGACAGGGACCTCTCCGCCTGATATCCACAGATGTCTGGAGGCAGATTCTCACTGTGTCAAGGCCTATCCACTGGTGAGAGGCTGCTCTGGTTCCTGGGAAGAGGGTTGACAGGGAGGATCCTGGAGTGCTTGGACAGGATTTGCACAAATACCAAGCCAGAGCAGGTAGGGAGTGAAGACTCCCATGTCCACCGCCACTGCTTTTCTTCCTTCTCTCTTTTGTCTTCTTTCTGGATTTTTTAAAATCTTAGTAAGCATTGTTTTGCATAGGTCATTCCTCCGGGTAACAGCAGACTCATTTCACCTTCTTCACTGAGCTGACTAAATTGTTTCCTCCTCCTTTTCCCTAGCATTGTTGTTTATCCATTAGCTGCCTGTTTCTAGCACTTTGCATGGTGCCGCCCAGACATCTGTCTTGCCTGTGGAACCGTATTTCACTATTTTATCCCAAACCAAGCACAATCAGGGCCTGGAAGCATGCACTAATAATCCTAGTGATTGGAGGGGTGGACAGGATGAGTAGGAATTGAGGACCAGCCTCAGACCAGCCCCCCCCCAAAAAAAAAAAAAAAACAAACCTGCATTCTGAAGCCAATTGACAAATGACTGTGTCTCAGTCCCACATCTTCCCTTGCCGGTCTTGGACCTATGTCGTGCTTCCACAGAGGGCTTGTCCTGGAAGGCAGGGCTGTCAGCATTTATCCGTTCACTCCTTCCCTTCCAGACTCCATGTTCGGCTCTCTTTTCCTTCTGTGGCTTGTGGCCATGACCACCTCCTTGGTTTCCAAAGCTCAGCTATTGACCCCCCAAGACTACGAGGAAAAGGAAGAGGGTTATTCGACAGTAACCACAGCTTCCCTGGCTGTCCGTTGTGACTATGACCGATGCCGCCACCTGCAAGTGCCCTGCAAGGAGCTGCAGAAGGTTGGGCCAGTGGCCTGCATGTGCCCAGGGCTCTCCAGGGAGGATCGGCAGCCAGATCCTCCACGTCTGGGAGAAGTGCAAATTGTGGCTGAGGAAAGCTGCGTGGTGGTCCACTGGTGTGCTCCGTTCTCTCCGGTCAGCCACTACTGGCTTCTGCTTTGGGAAAGCAATGGGGCTCCACAGAAGAATGGCCCCCTCAATGCTACAGTTCGAAGAGCAGAGCTGAAGGGACTGGAGCCTGGGGGTGCTTATGTCCTTTGTGTGGTGGCTGCTAATGACGCTGGTGAGAGCCATGTTCCTGAGGCAGGTGTTGAGGGTTCTGAGAACTGGACTGGTCCTTCCTTTGGGCCCTGTCACAAGCTTATCATGCCACCTAGGCCTACCACCTTAGTCCATGCAGCTGTGGGAGTAGGCACAGCCCTGGTTCTGCTGAGCTGTGCAGCCCTGGTCTGGCATTTCTGCCTTCGTGAACGGTGGGGTTGCCCCCGACATCAAGGTACTGCCCAAGCTTCAGAAGCTCTCTGATAGGAGTCCCTTCCACAACAAACAACTCTAGTGCAGTCCAGCCACATCTGGAGAGCCCAACCCACTCCCAGGAGGAGTGTGGGGCTTGCTGCCATCTGGCACCAGTGGCACAGCCAAGCCAGAGCAGAAGCCCAGGCAATTGGCCTGGAGATTGAGAGCTTGTTTAGTTTCTAACTGGTCACTATGTTTCCTGTTGGGGGCTAGAAAGGAACAGCAATTATTCCTTGGGGGTCAGATGCAAATGATTTAAGCTTTATGGGCTTTAGGGGATAAAATTATAGACATTATGTATGTACTTAAATGTAGTCAGTTAAAATGGAGCTATTGAAGGTCTACCATGGTAATCTACAATTTTAATCTCCAGCACCCTGAAGGCAGAGGCAGGCAGAGTTTCCAGGGCAGCTTGATCTATATAGAAACATTCCAGGCCAACCCAGATTATATAGTGAGATTCTGTCTCAAAAAAAAAAAAAAAAAAAAAAGAAAAAGAAAAAAAAGCAACAAAAGGAGGGGCGAGACAAGAGCTGGTCAGCAGTTCAAAGCACTGGCTGCTCTTTCAGAGGACCAGAGTTTTATTCTCAGCTCCCACACTGCAGTTCACAACCATCGGTAACTCCATTCCCAGAGTATCCAGCATCTACTGATGACCTCTGCCAGCGCCAGACATTCACATATATACAGGCAAAATACCCATACAGATAAAATTAAAATGTAGCTATTTAAAATGTAAACTGTCCATAGCTCATAGACCTTCCATAGCCAGAGGCAAGCCAGGTTTGGCCCATTGGCTGGGTTTTTGCCAACACCTGTTATATATTCATAAAAGGACTCTGCAACTGTGGGTGGCTCCCACATATATTCTGAGAATAAACTTCTGTAGGATAGGCTATGCCCTTTTCCTACCTTTTCTTTCCTTACTAAGAATGAGCTTGCTCAGAGTCCAACTGTGTTTGCAGAAGCTGGGGATTAAAAATCAACATGGGCTGGAGGGGACAGAAGGCTCAAGCTACTGTCTACACAAGTGTTTTTGTTAGTTACTAACAGCTTACACCAATAACTCTCCAAAAGTTTGTTTGATTGTTTATCCACTGTAATAACATTAAAGGAAATCTAAAAGCATTGTATTTTCAACTTTCATGATCCTGTTTAATTCGATATGTATTTTTTCATCACTTCTCAGCCTTTTGGCCAAGATCAAGTGTATGCCTATTTTCAAAGTAATATGCATACTTGTGTTTTTTGTTTGTTTGTTTGTTTGTTTGTTTGAGAAAGGGATCTCACTGTGTAGCCCTTTCTGGTCCAAAATTCTCTATGTAGTGCCAGTTGGCTTAAAACTCATAGAGAGCTGGGCTCTGTGGTGCATGCCTGTGATCCCAGCACTCAAGGAAGCAGAGGCAGGTGGATTTCTGTGAATTCAAGGCCAGCCTGATCTACAAAGTGAGTACAGGACAGCCAAGACTACACAGGGAAATCCTGTGTGTATGTGTGGTGGGGGGGACCAACCAACCAACCAAACACAACAGAAAGCAAAAAGCAAACCCCCCTAAAAACAAAAGCCAAACCTCACAGAGATCCTTCTGCCTAGGCTTTCTGAGCGATGAGATTAAAGACATGAATGACCACACCAGGCTGTTTGGGTGTTTGAGTCAGTCTCATTATATAACCTTGGCTAGTCTGCTACTTTAGTCCTGAGACTAAAGGCATGTAACATCATGCCTGGCTTATTTACAATTTAAGTCTTAAAGCCGGATGTCTTGGCATAAGCCTGTAATTCCAGCACTCAGGAAGACAGAGGCAGGCTTGTCTCTGTGAGTTCAAGGCCAGCCTGATCTATAAGAGTGTAGGACAGCCAGAGCTTGTCTCAAAAAAAAAAAAAAAAAAAAAAAAATTAACTCTTTGCTTATTTTTTCTATACATATATGCATGCCATGGCAGACAAGTGGAAGTCAGAAGACAAATTTCAGAAGTTGGTTCTCTCTTCCCCACCATGTGAGTTCCAGGCCTCAAACTCAGGTTGCAAAGCTTGACAGCAAGCAGCTGGGTACAGTAGTGCACACCTGTGATATCAGCACTCATGGAGGCAGAGGCAGACAGATTTCTGTGAGTTCAAGGCCAGCCTAGTCTAAAAGTGAGTCCAAGACAGCCACAGCTACACAGAGAAACCCAGTCTCAAAAAAACAAAAATAAAAAAAGAGGCATCTTATTATTCCTTGAATGTATTTTTGGTTTTTTTGTTTTGTTTTCTTCGTTGCTGTTTTTTGGGTTTTTGTTTTTATTTTTGTTTTTCAAGACAAGGCTTTTCTGTATAGCTCTAGCTGTCCTGGAACTCACTCTGTAGACCAAACTGGCCTCCAACTCACAGAGATCCACCTGCCTCTGTCTTCCTGAGTGCTGGGATTAAAGGAGTGTGTCACCAATGCCCAGCTCCTTGAATTTATTTTTGAAATTACTTGAATGTAAAAAAGTTCCTTACAAATTGCTACATAGTGAAAATTCATTTTCACTAATCTGATAACTTTTTTGGGGGGTGCCGGGTTGAGTTCAGAGCCCTAGAAATAGAAGGCATGCAAGTCTACCACTGAGTTCTATTCCCAGCATGGCCATGGATTTAGTCTCTGTGTGGACACTGTTCCAGGACAGTAGCTACACTGAGCTGGATTATTTTAGTCTCAGAACAAAGGTATTATTACCCAAGGTCTCAGTAAACTGATATAAAGAATCTAGGAAAAAATTAAAAGCCAGATACGGTACATGCCTTTAATCTCAGCACTCCTGAAGTAGGGGCAGGAGGATTTCTGTAAGTTCCTGAACAACGTGGGCTGCAGATAGTTCCAGTGCTACTTAGTAAGGTCCTGTCACAAGAATGAGTTACTTGCTCAGTTTTTTTTTGTTTTGTTTTGTTTTGTTTTGTTTTTTAAATAATTCTCATTGCTGGGTGGTGGTAGCGCATGACTTTGATCCCGGCACTCAGGAGACAGAGGCAGGAGTTTGAGTCCAGCCTGGTCTACAGAGTAAGTTCCAAGACAGACAGAGCTACACAGAGAAACCAGGTCTCAAAAAAAAAAGAAGGAAAGATAGAAAGAAAAAGAAAAAAAGTATTATTCTTCATCTTTTAAATTTAGCACACACTAAAACTAAGACAGCTCATGACCAGGTATTTACAGACCTCAGCAGGACACTGATCAAGTGCCCTCAGCACTGCAACACCAAGCAGCCTACGCAGGTCCCAGCGCACATGCTTCTGCAAGCAGGATTCACAGAGTTCAGTTCAGTCCTGCTTGCTTTCACAGGCTTTGCCTCAACTGCTTTGAAAGGATTTTAGAAGAATGAGAAAATAACTCTATCATCTTTCATTAGAAAGAGCATGCATTCCCAGCTGAGTATGCTGGATTCGCAGTTAATTATGAAAAACTTTCACTGTTAGGAGTTATACATGGAAAGAAGGCTGGGGGCATAGTGATTAAACTCCAAATCCTCTAACAGTGACTTCAGCTGAAGTGGTAAAATATGGCAGTCAAATCATGGAAGGCTGGCCAGGCTCAGCCCTTCTTATCCTAATGCTTACCTGGAAAAGATTAATTATGTTACATATTTTGAAACTTCTAATTCTTTTAGTTATCAAAACCAAAAATTCCAGCTGCACATTGTGTTCCTCCTGAGCTCACTCTCCCTCTCCTACAAGGGAGGCATCTTATCATAGCTCTGTACAATAGATGGTCCTATAAGAATCATGCTCGGTTTGACCAGCATGTGGTCTTTTCCTAGTTTTGAGAAATCCTGTTTCTTTTAAAAGAGCATAATTTATAATTGATTTATATTTTATTTTTGGCTTTCTGAGGCAGGGTCTCTGTACATAGCCCTAGCTGTCCTGGAATGTGTAGCTGTGCCTCAGACTCACAGAGATCTATCTGCCTCTGCCTCCCAAGTGCTGAGATTACAGTCGTGTGCCACTACACCTGGCCCAATATAATTGATTTTTACATAATGTAAAGTTTAATAGATAGATAACCAAAACCATTTTTATTTGGTTTTTGTTTCTAAAATAGGGTTTATTTGTGTACCCTTGGTTGTCCTGAAACTTGCTCCATAGACCAGGTTGGCCTTGACCTCAGAGATCCAACTGCTTCTGCCTCCCTAGTGCTGGTATTAAAGTCATGCACCACTAGCCAGCCCATGTGGGGCACGCCTGTAATCCCAGCACCTGGAGAGGCAGAGGCAGACGGATCTCTGAATTCAAGGCCAGCCTGGTCTACAAAGCAAGTCTAGGACAGCCAAGGCTACACAGAGAAACTTTGAAACACCAAAACCAACCAAACAAAAAAAAAATATGTACCACCACCACCTGGCATCTAAAACTTTTTAATGAAGTTTGGAGAATTACTGTAAGAAACTGATATTTTCAAGTAAATGCAATAAAGGTTTTAGTAAATCCCAAAATAAATTAAAAATAAATAAAGTAAAATAGGCTGAAGGAATGGCTCAACAGCTAAGAGCTCTTGCAGAGAATAGTAGTTCAATTCCCGGCACCAACGTGACAGCTAACAACCTTCTGTAACTCCCGTGCCTGGTAATCTGTCACTGTCTTCTGGCCTTCACAGGCAATGCACACACATGGCACACAGACATACTATCAAGCAAAAAACTCATGCTAATAAAATAAAAACAAATTTAAGATGGGTGTGAGGGTGCATGCCTTTAACCTCAGCACCCAGGAGTCAGAGGTGGGAGGATTTCAATGAGTTTGTAAGTTCGAGGCTAGTCTGGCCAACAAAATGAGTTCCAGGACAGCCAGGACTATATAGAGAAACCCTGCCTCAAAAGAAACAAACAAAAACAACAAAATCACCCATACACAGAAAATAAAGGCAAGAGTGGTCGGGGTTAGTCTAGTGCTATGTATGATAATGCAAATTACTGGTCCCCAAGATCTGGTTGCTACTCATATGCTCACATACCCTGGTCTTTGTTGTGTAAACTTTACTCTACCTAATTTAAAGTTGATTAGCAATAAAGTTGCTGAAGCCTGTGACAAGGCAGAAGAGAGCAAGCAGAGCTTAGGTTCCTGGGGTTGGGTCCAGAGAAGGAACACAAGGTGGGAGAAGGAGAGAGAAAAAGCAGATGTAGCTGGAGGAAAGGAAGCCAGAGAGAAGGAAGTTGCCATGGGGCAGTAGCCATGAAGGCTGGCCTGATGGAACAGAAGTGGTCCAGGCAGGAACAATTATGGCAAGAAGTATTTGACGTATAGCTGGGAAATAGCAAAAATAGTTTAGAGGGTTGATACCTGCCCCAGTTATGGTGCCTTAAGGCTTTTATAATTCTTAAATGGTTTCTGTCTTGCCAGGTGTGGTGGTGCACACCTATAATCCCAGCACTTGGAGGCAGAGGCAGGGGGATCTTTGTGAGTTGATCTATAAAGTGAGTCCAGGACAGCCATGGCTACACAGAAAAACCCTGTCTCAAACAAAAAATACAAAAATTAAAAAGGTCTCTGTCTCAGTTATCTGGGAACTAGCTGGGATTGAGATGCCCTCAAAAGCCTAATAACCACTTCCACAACACAGGAGAGTTCATGTCTCAGTACCCAAAGCTATCTCTCCAGCTACTTTTGAAAAATGGCTCAGAGAGATGGCTCAGTGTTTAAGAGCACAACCAACTCTTCCAAAGAACATGGGTTAGAGTCCCAGCAACTATATGGTGACTCACAGCCATCCATAACTCCAGTTCCAGGGATATGAGGCCCTCTTCTTGCCCCTATGGGAATCAGGAATGAAGTGGTTCACAGGTAGACATGCAGGCAAGAGACTCATATACATAAAATAAAAACAAACAAGTCTAAAGAGTAGATAAAAAAATTAAACAAATCAGTCTTTCTAAAAATCATTTAAAAATACAATACCAGCCACAGAGGTTCATGTTTGTAATCTTGTCACTGAATAGGCAGAGATAGGTGTATCCCTGGAGCTCTGGGACAAGCCAGGCTTAATCAGGTTTGGGCCAATGTATAAGAAGGAATATCTTGTGTATTGTATGGTTGTAGCACCTGTCAAAGTTTAATCTGATAGCCTCTATCTTAGGTAGGAAATAGGAAGTGAGACATCTGATAGGATTCTGGAACAGAGCCAGGCACTCAAGATTCAGCTGGCA